TTCGGCGAGTCGCATGAAGGGTGCGCTGCATCCTGCTAAGGGTGTTCGGCATCTTGTGCTTACTTCCTTGCATACGGATGACAGCTGCGTATGACTTAAACTTATTTTGGTGCTTTCACTTCCAGAGACAGTTGTAAGCACTGTGTAATTGCCTCGAGGGTGCTTGGCCATTTTAACACAACGTGGTGCGGTCATCCCCCTTGCGCGGAGTGAGGGTTCTCCACCCCGCAAAACATGATCCACTCGACCACCATTATGATTACCGCCAAAAAAAAAACAGCGGTAAAAAAACACAACGGTAACCTGGTTGCCGAGCTCAGGAAGTGAATTGGCTTGTTGTACAGCGTCGTTGCCAAGCGACGAAAACCCAATCCCGATGGCAAACACCGATGGGGGACTTGTTGTACAACGTCCTTGCCAAGCGACGAAAACCCAATCCCGATGGCAAACACCGATGGGGGACTTGTTGTACAACGTCCTTGCCAAGCGACGAAAACCCAATCCCGATGGCAAACACCGATGGGGGACTTGTTGTACAACGTCCTTGCCAAGCGACGAAAACCCAATCCCGATGGCAAACACCGATGGGGGACTTGTTGTACAACGTCCTTGCCAAGCGACGAAAACCCAATCCCGATGGCAAACACCGATGGGGGACTTGTTGTACAACGTCCTTGCCAAGCGACGAAAACCCAACCCCGATGGTAAACACCGGGGGGTAAGTGATGGGGGCGGGAACAATTGTGGCAACACCACCCACGCGGCCGACGAGAGCACACTTACTCTGCTGCCGCCCCCCCACGCAAAAAGCAGAAACTCCGAGTAATGTCTTCCATTACCAATCGTTCAATGGCGGGTTTTTGGTCAGCCAAGTTTTTAGGTTCCACAGCAGCAACAACATATATACGAAGAATAGAATTGTTCAATGCTGAGCGCGCATTTCTTTTCAAAAGAGATTTTTTATGTAATAATACTATATTCGACCACTATTATTATACTTAGAAGTATTTTTGAAGGAGACAGACGTACGTACGTACGTACGTACGTCTACGTGTTGTCGGATTGACTTTTACAGAGAGAGGCAGCGTATGTATAAAGTATGTCATCGCCTACTCTCTCTCACTTTTTCTCAGTCATTCATTGCTTTGCCCCCCGATCGTTGCCGTGCGTGTTTCTACGCAACAATATATATATCAAATAGAGTAGGCCCATGTCTATGTTGCTTCCGGCACTACATCATGATCAGAAGGTAAAGATGGCGCTCGCACTTAGGAACTTGGCAGTTAAGAAATGCGGCCTCGAAAAAAATCAAAATCAAAGAAATTGGCCACATAATAATAACAACACGTGCGTGCTCAGGCCCGACGTGGAGTTAAGAACAAGAACGAACCCACCTTCTTTGTGGTGTAAGAACAGATGCCCCAAAACGCGACAGCTGCAAGATAAGGAGCACTCACTCATGAAGGGGTGAGGGGCTACTCGCGGGGTGACCGGTGGGCAGTTAGTTGCAGATCAGCGGCGAGGAGAAGGCTCCTTTGAAAATAGTGCTGGTGGTGCGGAGATGGGGGGGGTGTAGTCTACTGTTTTCATTTTCTCGCGTCTAACGGTAGTCAACTATAAAATCGGGCTTACAAATGCCGGCACTCTTGAAGCTTTTCGGCTTCGGGTGCGGGACAGCTACCAGTGTGTGTGGCGGGGACGCGTGTGTAGAAGCACACGTGTCCCCGTCAGGTCAAGATCGATTCGGGGAAGATCCAACCAAAGATCGTGCATATCCTGCACGGGTCGGGCTACACGGGCTTTGCAGCAGCTGAAAACCGCAGGCAGCAGCTGAGGAAACGACAACAAGCACAGCGGGGGGGAAGCAGAGACAGAAACGACAGCACAGACAGCATCGACCGGAGTGCGGTGGTGGCACGTGTGCACAGACACACACAGGGTGGTACCTGTCCCGTCGACCTGCTTGCTTTGCGCGAGATCCAAAAAGAGTTGATCGGAGATTGTGCGAAAAAGTCGGCCTGGAAGGTTTCCGAGGAAAAGGAGTTCAGGCACCGAGAGAAGAAAATCCGCGTGGAGAAGCGTGGTTAGATATCGTGGAGAAGGGAAACATAAGAGGTAGCAGTGAAGGGGCTGGTAGAGGTGAGAGCTTGTTGAAGTCAGTTTGGATCCATTGCGGCGACGATCCACTGATCGTAGATCGTACAAGCCGGATCCCCCGCAAATCGCCCATAGCGGAGGACGCAGCAGCAGCAGCAGCAGCAGCAGCAGCAGCAGCAGCGGCAGAGGCAGCCGCACGTACCGACGAGAGGGCAACATCGGAACACGTGTGCGCGACACACACACGTGGTCCCGGAGAGAAGTTTTCGAGAGATCCAAACAAAAGCTCGATCGGAGATCCTGCAGCCTCGCTTCTGGAAGAGTCAGCGGCAGGAGAAGCTCAGCGCGGTGAGAGGAAGATCAGGGGACAGGTAGCAGCAGCAGCAGCGGGAGGAAGCAACAGTCAAAGGGGCCGACGAGAAGGGATCTTCGAGACACGCGTGCTGGGAGCACACACACACGTGGAGGCCCGAACGGAACTGTGCTCGCGACCCCGTGATCAATCGGAGATCAAGCAAGGCGGTCGCGAACAGGTCCAGCAGCAGCAGACGGAGCCGAGGTACCGAGAGCAGGATTGGGTGCAACGAGCATCTAGAAGATCTCTGAAACCTGAACAGAAGATTGACAGACGTCAAAGGAATGGGAGATCATTACTGAGTAGAAACCTTTGCACGTACGTCGGCGGCATGCACATGTTCCGCGCGCAGTTGTTGTCGTTGACTGTTTTGGCGTATTTCTTAGGAGTGCGACGAGAAAGGACCCTGGCTCTTGCGGTTGCAGGTGGCGGGGAAGTAGGAACAGGGGGTGGCAGTGTCGGGGGTCCGGGGGAACATGGGCTTGAATGGGGGTTGCCTCAGAAAGAGCAAGACGGCGGATGTTTCTCTCTTGGTGTGACCGGTGGCAGTATCGATCAGCAATGCCGCACAGACTTTTGCGCGCCGAAATATGCGTGCGACAGCTTTAACCTAACCACTTCGGTGGAAAGCGGATTTCTGTTCGATACGGTGTCGGGAGTGCTGAGGGGGGAGGGCTTGGCCGTTGTGGTTACAGGTGGCAAGGAAGTAGGAGGAACAGGGGGTGGCAGTGTCGGGGGTCTGGGGGAACATGGGCTTGAATGGGGGTTGCCTCAGAAAGAGCAAGACGGCGGGTGTTTCTCTCTTGGTGTGACCGGTGGCAGTATCGATCAGCAATGCCCCACAGACTTTTGCGCGCCGAAATAAGGTTCGTGCCTAGAGTTCAGCTGTAACGTTTCAACCAAAATTTTGTTGAGTTAGAGGGAAACATTCCTAGCTATGGGGCATCGAGTAAATTTGGCTTGGCATGACGGCCTTTACGATCTACTATCTATGTATGTCTTCATTTATCTGCAATTGTCGGAGGGCAAACAAAATAATAACATTGTCCAAAAAATCGATGTGTCGTGTGCTCTGTGGACACCGGCTGGTACATAGTTTTCGCGGCAAGGCATGGACATTCTCGGGCTTGGACAACCTCGCCTGCAAACAAGCACAGATGCAAATGTCCCTATACTGGGTTTGGGCCGGCGTTTCCGAACCCTGCCTGACCTTGGAGGTTGGCAACGGTGCGCCCGACCGGGTTACGCAGATTGTACAACGCCTAGGGGTTACAGGTCACTTTAACCCCCCCGTAACCGTGCCCACTGGCCACCTGTGGAGTGATGAACAGCTGTGATCGAATCATGAATGTTTGTGGTTTACTTCCAGATGCGTCCTCTGTGGGGGATACGCGTGTAGGAAGTATGTGTGTGCTGGGCAATATGCGGTTGGGTCCCACGTGCGCCCCCCCCCGGGAGAGCACATGCTGGTGTGCTCCGGTGACTTGCCTGTGGGGTGAGCAATCCATGTACTGTGTAATATACATGATGGCTGCCCCGATCCTGGGATACCATAGTCCCCAGTCTCTCAACACCAATCGCTGAGGGCGGTCGTGGCACCTCGAACAATGAAGACTGAATATTAAAGAAGCGGCTTGACGTCGTAATATCTGCCTGATTTGGGTTATCATCGAGTCAGATTTTGTACGCGCTTCGCGCAACCGCAGCCGTTGGCGATTATTCGTATTGGTCAACAACGTAGAATAGTCTGTCTGAAGGTAGGAACGAGGACGTGCGCAATAATATTCCTTGTTTATCAGACACTACCAGACAGCTGTTGAATGTATCATCAGGCGACGAAAAATCACGCAAGTACAGCCTGCCTGTCAGTCGTCTCAGCTACGGTGGTAGTACCATATACTTTCCTTTGCTGTACAAATGTTTGCTGTCATACGATGAACAATCATCCGCCAATAGTAGTGTACGTAAACGCGGCGGATCAGAGATACGTGAATGTTGTGTTCCAAACAGATGCCGGTCATCATGCATACAATATGCGATACTGACGTCACAAACGCACAGCAAAAAACCACGGCGGCCGAACCATATGCTGTACAGCGTACCAATAGAACGAACGGCTCACGGTCCCAGTAACAAAAAAAATGTCTTTTTTGTTTATTGTTATTATGTAGTGGGACACCGAAGGAAGGTTTTAAAATTTTTGCGCGAGGCTGCTCCTTCTTGTAAATTGCCTCAAACCGAGCCCATGTTAATATTTTCCAAGTCTTCCTTTTTAGAACAGGCATCAACCGGTCGCCCGGGTGGTCTAGTGGTAACTTCGAAACCGCTAGTGGCAAAGTTGTGGGTGCGAATCCCCATGGGGTGAAAAGTTTACACATGTATTTGCGTGTGGAGCGAAAATGCTGAAAAGCTCATGTTGAGTACCAAATTTCAACGTCGTTGACGAGGGAAAGGGGCGGCTCTTCTCGTGATGAAATAAATTCAGCGTGTACCGCAGGAGGACGGTACAGCACGAATAGCAAAAGAAAAAACGAAATAAGCCCCGCCCGGTGCATATCCCCTCCTGTTTGACCCGGGATGGCTGTATTATTTGTAGTTGTGCAAAATAAGCAAGTGTAGTACAGTAGACTACTCTACATACATACACTGAGACACACACACAATGACGGGAACTTGCTTGGCAGCGATGAACGAGGAGGAGGGGGGATGGGAGGAGAACAATAAGACAGCGACCAAAGCAGCAGTCGAGGAGGGAATAATGGCGTGGAAGAAAGCAAGAGCGTCGAGTCAGATGACCTTCCCCACCATGAACGACGCAGGGCTAGAGAGGAAATGTCGAGAAGTTGCTATGAAAATAACCATGAGGACGATGGATGACGTTGATAGCGCTCCAAAAACAAATCGAGTGCAAGGTAGCAGCCTTTGTAGACGTGTGTGTGCAGTTTTATTCTGTTGCTACCGTTTCTGTCTTTGATCCGGAGAATGGGTTAGTTTACCCCATTCCGCCCCGGTGTTTGCCATCGGGATTGGGTTTTCGTCGCTTGGCAACGACGTTGTAAAACAAGCCAACTCACTTCGTGAGCTCGGCAACCAGGTTACCGTTTTGTTTTTTTACCTCCGTTTTTTTTTTGGCGGTAACCATAATGGTGGTCGAGTAGATCATGTTGTGCGGGGTGGAGAACACTCGCTCCGCGCAAGGGGGATGATCGCACCACGTTGTGTTCAAATGGTCAAGCACCCTCGAGGCAGTTACACAGTGCTTATGACTGTCTCTGGGCGTGAAAGCACCAAAATAAGTTTAAGTCATGCGCAGCTGTCATCCGTACGCAAGGAAGTAAGCACAAGATGCCGAACACCCTTAGCAGGATGCAGCGCACCCTTCATGNCCCCCCCCCCCCCCCATTCCGCCCCCACATGGGGTCCCAGTTAATGGCATTTAGACGTGTTCTTCGTTTCAACCAGCACTGAGACTAACATATTTTCATTGGTCAGCCGGTTAGCGTGGTCGATGCTCCTAACACAAGCACAAACACACGTGAAATGGAGGGACTGTCACCATGATAAGGGCGAAAAAACACACATCCACCTAAGAAAGGATCAACGGCGTTCTCGTGTTCTTTCTATTCATACGCCGATTACCCCCCGTAGATGAGGACACATATAGCAAGTTTTGGGTGGATTTCAAACAACGTGGTAGACTACTACTGCAGTACTGAAGTATGTGTAGAACACATAATACCGGATGGTCTTCGGGATGTAGGCTTGTGGATGTTGGCGATGTTCCGTATCGGTTGTCGAAGATAACTGTGTTGCTGGCTGTGGTCGAAAATACATGTACTAGACTGTGCTCTATCTAATTGCTGAGTTGGTGCGTGCCCTCTCCGCAGTGTCATGTCGCGCACATGGTAGGTGTGCGTTGCAGCAAATACAAGTTGGCAGAGCACCATTTCACAGTCTTCTTATTCAGTAGTCAACAGGTCGAATGCTGCGTGTGAACTTGTACGTATCCTGAAGTCTACAGCTGCAGCCCGGCTTAGCACTCAAGTTCCTCACCTAACAACATATTCGCCTGATTGAGAGCGAAGTATCTGATTGAGAGCGAGAGCCAAAAAAATTGAAATTTCGGGTCCAGACGCCTCTTGCCATTTCTTGGCAAGTAGGGGACGGGCTATTCCAAGAAGCGGTGCAAATTGAAGGTCTCATCAGCAGCTTCGCGAGCATATGCGTGTCATCGTCATCGGATGCTGCAGCGAGGAGCTAGACAAGTTGCTAGATTTGCCCAGATTGGCTATTTCTGCTCAAACTGTTTCAGGGCGGTATCGCGTCGGGCGGTGGGCTCTGCTGTAGCTTCTGCTCCCCGCTGTAGCTCCACAACGAGAGACTCCCACAGGATGACCAGGGTAGCGGCTTGAAGCTACGGGCTAGCCCTTCAATTCAAGCTACACAGCAAGCTCCACCTCTCAGTGGTAGTCCGGCTACAGCGTATCGCGCAATCTCGCTCTCAATCAGATGCTACGCTCTCAATCAGGCGAATATGTTGTTACCTCTCGGTACATTCTTGATGTATGCGCGCGGGCGCGCGTGTCAGCAAAGGACAAACACTTCGAAGTAAATATATGCAACTGTCAAACGCGGAGGAATCGGGAACCCGTCGAGACGCAAACAAACTCCCGCGCGAATGAATGGAGGTGGGAGAAGTGAACGCACGGCCTCTGTCCACCGTATTGCAGATTGCAAAGAGAGGCCGGGTCGCTTCAATCTGGCGGATTGTACAGAACAACGTAATATTAATAGTCGATTTTTTCGCCCAAATCGATCGAGAGCGGGGGACGGGGTTGGGAGCACGTGTCTCCAAAAACCAAAAGGATCGGACTAGTCTACATAGTCTCGTGATTACGTTTCCCAAATGTACAGATACAGATCAGAATGTATGTTTGAATGGTGGCTCAGGGTCGTCCTAAACGACCTCGGAATTTTACCTGCGATCGCAGGTTTCAGACCCCGGATCGCAGAAAAATAAATGCGGGCGTTTTAAACGAAGCAGAGCACAAAATTAAAAAAACCTGCGATTTCTGCGATTTTGGCGGTCAAACCGCTCCCGACGACCGCAGAGGCCGTACACAACAGCAGAGGCCGTACACAGCAGACAAACATCCACCATGGCCGACCAAAACAGTGTGACACCGCGGGTATCAAGGCCCAGGAGGGTTGGGTCCCTTCCTTTACGGTTCCAGACGAGCGGGAAAGCAGTTGCTGCTGCTGGTTATGGGTTAGGACGGCCTCAAATGCCTCCTGCTGTGGGCATCAGCCCTCCGCCAGGCATGTCTCGCGAGGTCGTCGCCGGGAGTACCGCCGCTCGCTCAGCCCTGCAAGGTCGTCGGCAGGCGTCTGCAAGGTCGCCGGGAGACAGGTGCCCGCTGCTGCGGCACGTACAGCTCAGCGGCCTGTGCTCCTGCCGTTGCAACACCAACCAGGACAAGGAAGGCCATCACGGCGGCCTTGATCGCAGCAGTAGAAGTCGTATCATGGTCTCTTTGGTCGGAGCGCCGCAGTCGCCGCCTTTGCGGAGCCGTCTGTGAGGTTCCCCGAAGCTCCCGGCGCCTTCTATTGTCGGCCATGGACCCTAGCCTACTCTGGCGATCAGTTCTGGGGGTTATAGTGCAGCTACAGGGGTGATACAGGTGGCTTGGTGTGCTGTGCCCGATCCAACGTGATACTCTCAAGAGAATCGCAGAAATCGCAGGTTTGTACCTGCGATCGCAGAAA